CGCAGGATTCACTTATCCAAGATCACTACCCAGCCATCAGTAAGTTTGGTCTCGGTGCTGGGTAGCAGCAGGTGGTCTGTGGTTTATATACTCTAGAGCAGTGGTGGTGGTGAACCCTGTGGCATGTGTGTAGCTTTGTTATCATTGAATGTTCTAAAAGATTCACCACCATTGTTCTAGTGGTGGTACCTGGGGATGAGGTAGGCAGAGTTTATCATACTGTGCTCCATGCTGTGGTCTGGTCTGTGTCCAGAGGCCTGGGCAGAAACTGGGAGAGGGGCAAAGAAAGTGTGAATGACAAACCTCCTTCTACTTAACATGGGTCGACTTGTGTGATTATTAATATTCTAGCCAACCTCCTGTTTCTTTCAGAGATCTTGGCCTTGCTTCCAAGAACCCCCCCAGGAACATAAATAGACTTTCCCTTGGGGGTGGGAATAAATTAATTCATGCAATTATAGAATAATTAAAGTACTTTCAGCCAATTCAAGTCTTGAGAAAAATCCAAAAATAACTCCTTGACTTAAGTATTATTTACTAAATTAATTCTTTACCAAGCCTTTTTATAGAGCCTTGGTTTTTCCCTCCCTTTCCTACTGTTAGAGAATAAAGGCATTGTGTAATTACTGAAATCACTCGTGAGTGGCACATTCTTTTTACAAGGAACAATTAAAAGACTTAGTAACTTTTTTTCCAAATGGCACAGTACCCTGGTGTTACTTAACACCGTGGATTGGTTAGCCACCTATTCAGGTCTTGCTTTTTAAATTTTTGATTGTTTTTTTTTTTCTTAATGGTGCTGGGAATAGAATCAAGGGCCTTGAGCACACCAGGCAAGTGCTTTGCCACTGAGCTACATCCTCAGCCCAGCCACCTGTCCAGGATTCCCTGCAGAGAGTCTTTTCTTGAAGTGGAGCACCTTGCTGGATGGAGGGGAGCCTTCAGAAATTTTGAGGGCAGCCTCTGCCTGCCTCCAGAAGGAGCTTCCTGGGAATGGAGAGGCAGGATGACATGACCATTGAGTGACTGTTCTCTGCAGTGGGGTCACCTGGGTTTGGCTCCTGGGGTCATAATTCCTGAGCAGGGAGCGAAGCTTCTTTCCCCTTCTGTGTCTTCCTTCCTTACCTGTTTCCTGTAGATGATATCTGTGAGTATTCAGTCTATCCATGTTGAGTACCTGGCACAGCATCTTGGCCATGACCACTCAGCAAAGGTATTTTTTCTTATCTTTGTACAGATCTCATTGTTAGTGGGGCAGAGGCAGCATTAAGGGCACAGTTGTCTGTTCTTTTGTGGAAGGTGTAGCTAACATTATGTGGAAGGGGTGGGAGAGAGGGTTGTGTGCCCAGCAGGGGCCTTAAATTTTCTCCTGGGACCCTTAAAGCCTGTGTACAGGTAGAGAGGCTGCCTGTCCTTCTGTGGACAGATTGATTCCCAGGGAGACTCTAGCACAACTCTAAAATATGTTAAGAGAAATTATTACACAACTTAGCAATAAGCCCAGAAGAGTACGCTGTGCCCTTTCAAAATCATTCTTGGACATTGTTCAGCCAGTCCCCCGTACCTGACTTTTTAATATCTAGGGAAATGTACTTTTGTTTGACTTTGTTATTGACAATTAATTAAGCCTCCAGACTGAAGTCATACATCAACTTGTAGATCTTGTCCAGTAGAGATGCAAATAATTTCTGTCCAGTAGGAAAGATAACCCTAAAGGTTGATTATTTTAAATGCCTCATAGGACAATAACCAGCTTGTATTTCATCCAGAATCTTAGTCTCTTAATCCTGTTTAAATGCCCCTAAGTACCTGCTGCCTCAAAATTCCCTTTGAACCAGCTCTGCCATTTTACTTGGCCCTTGTTAGCAAGTTAAGGAATCTTTGACATGTGGTCATTCTATATTGGTATAAGCTGTGTTTTCAACTTGATGACAATAACATTTTGACAGGGATAATGGGTATTCATGTTTTTCTAAGCGTAAAGGCAGGTGCCTTATCCCCATACCACTCATCATGCCCAAGGTGGCACAACAAAGATGGCTCCAGCGTCAAGCTGTTGGCTTGGGCTAGTTCCTGCTTTTTTCTTTGCCTTCCAGATCTGTCCATCCTAGAGGCATCTGGTTAAAACAAACATCAAGAGCAGATCCCACATGGAAAGGTACCCAAGTAGGGGCTGCTGGATGGGGGTATTGCAAGGGGAGGCTGCTCTAGTGGCTCTGCTTGTGTATGTGGGCAGCAGTGGCAGCGCCCTTCCCTCCTCCCACCAAAGCAGCTCAGTCCTCCTGGACAAGGGCTCCCCCACCCTGGGTCCCCACACCCCTAGGGACCATCTTTCAGTGTAGTAATAAGGGGCCCAGAGCGATCAGCAGTATTTCAGAAAGCTTAAGGGAAATCGTACATCTCCCCGTGACAGGTCTGCCCAGACTAAATGAAATGTCATTTCTCTGCTTTTTGGCTGGAATTCCATCAGTTCAGTCTGGTGGCGCTGCTTATCTTGGGCTGATCAGGAGCCCTGATTGGACCTTATATGCGTCCTTGACAAATAAAAATGAATGATTACTTAATAAATGCAATTGGTTTGGCAGATACAGCCTTTCAAAATATGGCTACCAAGGAGCTCCAAGGAATGCAACAAAAGGGTTCTTGGTGGCACAGAGGTGGGGATATGCTAGCTCACCTAGGAGCAGCTCTGGCTGAGACGCCCTTTCCCAGGAAGCAGTATGGTAGTGCTGGGACACAGCTTCTCAGCCTGTCTGAGAACTTGCTCTGGGACAGAGCCCTGTGTGTAATGTGAGTAGACATTAAGCACTCCAAGGCCCTGGAGTGCTGGTGTGGCAGCAGGGCACAGTGTCTTAAATGTCTTTATCTCTTAAAAGGTACAGTGAACTGGGTCTACCCACTTTCTGAAAGTGTTGTGAGGAATCAGTAACAACCACCACAGGGGCACTTAGGAGAGGTTACCAGGTCACAAGCACTGTGATGTTCTGATTTACCTCTGCAGCTACCCTTGAGAGTAGGATTGTTATTGTTTCCATTTGACTGATGATGACAGTGTAAACTTGCTTAAGGTCACAAAGCTCAACTGAAAAGTGCAGAAGTAGGTGTGAGCCATATAGAAGGCTGTGGGGTTGTGCCTGCTTTGAATCCCAGCTATGCCTTTTTTCTAGCCGTGAATAATTAAGTTAATCTTGACGAGTCTCAGTTTTTCATCTGCAAAACAGGGGTCACAATTGTACCTCCCTTTACAGCTGTTAATAAGGATGTCAGCTTTTGTTTCTAAGGCAGGGTTATTCTCGTCATTTAATTTGGTGCCAATTATAACTGATTGGGTTTCAGAGGACGATAATGGGTTAGGACAAGCATTAAACATATGAACCGTGGAATCCCAGGAAACCACAGAGAACTAAAGGTCTCACTCATGTTGAATGCAGAGTCTTATATTCATGTGTTTGGCTCTGTTACAAGCAAGTGCATGCATAATAGAGCCAGTCTATGGTATATAAGTTGTACCTCAATAAAGCTGTTTAACAAACAGCTATCATTAATCAACTAATCACACAAATAATTGCTAGTGGCATGACAGAGAAGCACAGTCCTACAAAAGTGTATGGTGAGCAAACCTCTTCTAGCCTGGGAGGTTAGGGAGGCTTCTCCAGGCTGGTGATCTGATCTAGGATGGGAGGAAAGTGGGGAGGGGGTGAACCTAGTGACTGAGGACATGGCAGGAATGCTCTGGCTGTGGGAACAGCATGTGCAAAGGCCCTGAGGCAGGAGAGCACAAGGGTTACTGGGGAAGAGAAAGAGTGAATGTAGCTGGAGTGTCAGCATGGTGCGAGATGAGACCAGGGAGGGAGGGAGGGAGGGAGAGCCTGCCTGCAGGAGTTTGTAGGCTGAGGAAGGATCCTAATCCCGTGCTTCCTACCTCATGAGCCCCAGTTCTTATTTCGCTGGAATATGTTTGTTAATGACCATGGGGTCCAACTGAGCAGAAAGGAATGCCAAGAGCAGCCAGGGTCCTGGGGTGCCAGCTTTCTGCTTGAGCATGTCTTTGTCCCCTGGAAGCCCATTGGCAGATCATCTTTGGACCCAGGTCTGGCTCTATTCTGCAGCTGTTCCCTAGCAGGGAAGAGGCTTTTAGCTTTAATAAAAAAGAGAGTAGAGATAAGAAGGCTGCCTCGGCAAGGAGAGCAGCAGTGACAGGATGATTTAAATGGCCTCTCCAGTGTCATTTCTTCTGTGCAGACATCATAAATCAGATTAGCATTGGGCTCTGCTGGGGAGGGAGTCAGAGAAGGGAGAAGGGCCTTGACTCTGAAGCTGCCTGGGGCTGTCCTGGAGCCAACAGGGGTGGTGGTGGGATCACCTAATCCTGATCCTCAGTCCCAGCCCTATTCTTTGGAGAAGGAATGGGTGGGATAGCTCCCCAAACCTGTTCTCAGCTTTGGGAAAGAATGGAGAGGAATAGATAAGAGAAGAGGGAGAGAGAAAGGGGGAGTAGTAGAGGGATGGGTGTGGGAAGTAGAGAGGTCCAACCATTGGAAAGAGGAGGAGCAGCTATTCTCCTACCTTACCATACATTGAAATTACTCTGTGAACTTTAAGGATATACTGTGGGAAAGAAAGAAAGAAAGAAAGAAAGAAAATACTGGTACCTGGTACCCTTTCTAAGTTCCAGGTGATTTTAATGAGTAACTAAAATGGCAAGGGAAGAATTAGAGCTTAGCTCCTATCTTTTTTTTTTGGTACCGGAGATCGAACTCGGGACCTTGTGCTTGTGAGGCAGGCGGCAGAACCACTGAGCTAAATCCCCAGCCCACTTAGCTCCTATCTTAAAGGTGGGAACTGAATCATCTCAAACCATCTCTTTCATCACCACTTTTTAGGTCCACCAGGTCCCTTTGGTCTCCTCTTAGAAGGGACCCAATTGGAGGACCAGAAAAGAAGCCCCCTAGACAGGTATAAATGGAGCAGAAATCGAACCTGTTTCCCTTGGTTTTCAGATCTCCCGCCACCTGGGCAAGATGTACAGTGAGATGATCTTTGTCAATGGCTTTGTGCACTGTGACCCCCACCCAGGCAATGTGTTGGTGCGGAAGCATCCTGGCACAGGCAGAGCAGAGATTATTCTGTTGGACCATGGACTCTACCAGGTAGGAGAACCTATTTCCATCTGGCCCCAGGGGCTGGTCCTGCTTGGGGTCAGAGCCCACTGAAATCCCCCATCCACCATGAAATGAGAGTGGATGGCCAGGGTGGCTGGGGCTGGAGAGGGCTCTGTCCTCTCCTAGGAACTGTCATTTCATGCACATCACTGTCCTAAGAGATCTTTGAGCCTCAGCTTCCTTCCAAAAAAGCAAGACTGATCTTGTCTCCTTTACAGACCATCACAATGAGTAGGTGGTGCTTGTGTATGTGTTGTGGCTTCCCAGGGAACCACAGACAGCCCTAATCTGGGAAATGAGCTGCTCTGGGCACAGGCTGGGACTTCTAAGAGGGAGGGGAGTCCCAGTGAACATACGCTATGTGGTGGAAAAGGAGGCAGAGAACTGGTAAGCATTGGGTAGCTCATGATTCAGTCCTTGAGAACTCAGGATGAAGAGCAAGCTTTAGCAGTCATGAGCTCCCACTTGGAAGCTGGGAAATTCACTGCCAACCTGGGACCCAAGGGCTAGCTTGATTCGATGAAGAGGATGGTCCTGGGAGGTTTCCCCAATGGTCTTCTGCTCTTTTCCCCAGAGGCCTGTTTCCATATCTCAAAATTTCAGCCTCCTCTGAAAGGCTGGGTGAAGTAGCACACATCAGGTCAAGTTAGGTTAGCTGTTGTCATTCATGGTCCCCAAATGAATGCTGCCCCAATAGGAGTTTCATTGCTTGCTCCTATGCCAGTCCTGGGTGTGGTGGAGTCTGCAGGCTCTGCTTCCCAGCTCTCTCCGGGAGCTGTGATGCTGTCAGCCAACAGCAGGAGAAGAGGGCTCAGAGGCACATGGATGGGAAACTTTAGGGGGAAGTGGAGCTTCTGCCACATTGCTTCGGTCATAGCTCAGGCAGAGGGCCACATCGAACTTTGGGGGAGGCCAGGAAAATAGTATGTGCCAAGGAAGAAGAGGACTTCATAGATTGTGGTACACAGAATGATTAAAAATATCGAATGAAATTCCCTTCGCTCTATGAATGTCATGTTTAGACTTAAAATATCCTCAAGATATTATATATATGCAAATGTTCTAAAATCTGAACAAAATCCAAAATCGAAACTACTTCTGGTACCAAGCATTTCAAATAAGGGATATTCAGTCAGGAGCAACGTTGACCTTGGGCCTTTAATGACGGCCAGGCTTTAGGGGAAAGCAGACATCATGGAGGGTCCTCCTTGCCCCCCTTTGCAGTAGTCAGCGCCAGCCAGGGCTTAGTCCTTTGGTGGGGAGAGGAGACTCAAGCTCCGCCGTTGCTGTTGTGACTGTAGGTGCTCACGGAAGCGTTCCGCCTGGATTACTGCCACCTGTGGCAGTCTCTGATCTGGACGGACATGGAGAAGGTGAAGAGGTACAGCCAGTGCCTGGGAGCCGGTGAGCTCTACCCCTTGTTTGCCTGCATGCTGACAGCCCGGTCATGGGACTCCGTTAACAGGGGCATCAGCCATGCCCCAGTCACTGCCACTGAGGTAAGCAGACCCTCCTAGCCCGTCTGCCATCCAAATGCAAGGGATAGGGATGGCCTGTGGATGGTTCCAGTCCAGGGTCTGAGCTTCTTGATTGGTGGGCTATGTGCATGGGAGGAGGGGCAAAATTGGAGCTATGAGGGAGAAGAGATGATGTCCATGGGTGGAGGAAGGAAAGGGGAAGATAGACCACTGTGTCCTCTCTAGGCCTTACCAACCTGGAGTGGAAATATAGTCAGGTACCCATAATAACCTAGACTTTTGTGGCTTTAGTTCCAACCTGCACATGTGAGATGTCAGCCTTCCTTCAAGTTCTCCCCCAGGGCTTCTGGGAGACCTCAGGGACTGTTCTGGTGGCACTTCTGCTGTCTCCTGCCTGGCACTGTCTCCTTTTACATGGCTCCTCTCAGGCTCCATATGGGGCAAGCCCTTGCTTCTCTGCACAGTATTCAAGCAGCATCACTCATTGCATTGTCCTATAGGATTTTACTTAAGGTGGTTATTTTGTCTTTATCAGTTGCTCCTTTCTCTGTGGACCTGGACAGGAGCCTGGTGGAGTCTGGCTGGGGAACAGATCCTGGGAGCGTCTCCCTCCCTCATACTCACCTTGGCTCCCCTAGTAGGAGTACACAGGGCCAACTTATTCCTCCTGGCTCAGGTGGGCTTCCTTCCAGGGAGCTTCGGCATTCTTCATGGAAATGACTTCTGCCCATTTACTCTGTCAGTTTCCAGGCCCAGCCATGCTGGCCTGTATCTCAGTGGCGGACAGACTTGAGGTCCAGCTGAGGTTCCTGCTCACTCCAGGGTCTTCCTTGTGCCATCAGAAAGTCTGGGGTCTAGTTCCAGCACCTCTTCTTCCTAGCGGCGTGACCTTGGGTATTCTTGTCACCCTTCTGGGGCTCAGGGTCCTCCCCTGCAAGCTGCTTTGTGGCTGCTGGCCTTCAGAATGTCGGAAGCTATAATCTCACATGTCTCACAGGTCATTTCTTGCCATCTCATGGCTCCACTTTCCTCCAAGTTGACATCATCTTCCGGTAAGCTTGGTGGCACTTGCTGTTCCAGGCTCTGCAGCCTTAAAGCTCATCACCTCAGAATGAGAGAGACAAATAGGGATGGCAGGGACAATTATTTCTTTTACTGATAATGCAGGGAAAGTGCCTACCCACAGTTCTTGAAGTTCATTTATCCCACAAACATTTGTTTTTGCTGGACCCTGGGTTTGATGCTGAAGATCTTGTGATGCACAGACAGACAAGGATTTTGTTTAATTTAGGCTTTGGTTGAGAGAGACAGTAAACAGCGAACAAACAGGTAAGTGAGGTAAATGCAGGTGATGGGTACTGGAGGAAATAAACAGGGCAATGTGCATGAGGGGATGAGATGGTGTTCAGAGAAGACCTTGATGAGGAGTTGACATTTGAGCTGAGATGCAAAGGACAAGAAAGGCACCAGCCTTCGGAAGACCTTGAAGGCAGCATTCCTAGTACTCTAAGGCCTAGAGGAAGGAGAGTTTGGTATGGTCTGGAGTGTGGTGAATAGGATGGTGGAATGAGAAGAATTTGGAGGTCTGGGCAGGGAGAGAATCACATGGGACCTTATAAGTCATGAAAAGAAATTCAGATTTATTCTGACTATATTAATCTCTTTCCTATCACTGGGACAAAACACCTGACATGCACAACTTAAGGAGGAGAGTTTTATTTTGGCTCGTGGTTTCAGAGAGTCCAGTCTATGGTTAACTGCTCCAAGGCAGAAATGGCATGGCAGAAGGGTATGATGGAGGAAAGCTGCTCAACTCATGACACCCAGAAAGAAGAAGGAGAAGGATCAAGGGATAAGAATATACCCACATCCCCGATGACTGACCTTTTTTGACTAGGGTGCTTCCTAATAGCACATTCAGCTATAAACTCATCAATGGATTAATCCTCTGATGAGTAGAGCACCCCCATGTTCCAATTATTTTATGAAAGCCCCACCTCTGAATACATGAGACTTTTGGGCAATGAGATCTAAATCATAACACTCAGTACAAAGCAAAGCCTTTAATAGTCTATAAGCAAGAGAAGAAGATGCTCACAACTGCTGTTTTTAAGTATCCTCCTGAATAGGGCAGATGTGCAGTGGGGCAGTCAGTTAGGCTGGCCGAGGCTTCCAGGTCCAGAGGTGACAGAGGCTCAGTCCATGCTGGTAGAACAAAGATGGAGAAAAGCAAGTGGAACCAGGTGTATTTTGGAGTTGGGATTGAGAGGAGTTTCTGTAGGATTGGATGTAGAGGAAAGGAAGATGTCGAGGCTGCATTGTTGGTTTTGGATGAATTCTAGGGTGGAGGATAGTGTCATTCCCTGGCACAGGGAAGACATAAGGAAGGACGTATTTGAGTTGGGGCTGGTCAATGATTCTCTTGAGCAGATGGGGCTGTCCTAGAAAGTTAAAACTGAAGATCAAAGAAGAAGTCCAGGCTCAGGATATAAATTTGGAATATTTTGGCATATAGATGATACTTAAAGCCACAGAATAGCTGAACAAGGTCATATGGCACATAGTAGGTATTCAGTGGATGGTATCTGTATTAACTAAGATAAAATTTGGTTTTTTCATTCTTATTAATTCATAAAGACCCACTTATAACACCATTCTCTGAAGAAGTCTTGTTTCCTCTGGGAAACCTTTCCTCGCCACCTTTGCTGGAAGTCACCCCTTACTGCTTGTGTCACTCATGTGCAGTATATTATAGTCTCTTGCAGGGTGTTTGTCTACACATCTTGAATCTCTAGCTGCATGCTGAGCGCCTGGAGGGCAAGGACCCTGTCTAGCGTATCTTTGAATAAGATCCCAGCAATACTGGGACTGACTAGTAGACAAGCATTTGTGTGGGTCATGAGGACACTTGACTCTATCTGGTCATTTGGTTGAGAACCCAGATGGGTGACCTGAGCCAGTGGGATGGAAAGGCTCTGTATTTCTGAGCTCTGTTCTCATTCAGAATCAAGGGAACCCCAAGACTACCAGGGAGGATATTCTCCCCAACTAAACATGGCCTAAACAATAAGGAATTTGTTCTCCAGGGAGGTGGGTCCTGGAGCTCTGGCTCACTCCAGTAATTCTCTTGGCTCTCCTCTGATGATTGTAAGGTGGTGGCGGCAGTTCTAAGCTTCACATCTTCATTCAGTGATGATCAGAGGCAGGAATCAGGAGCTATTTCCTCTCATGTATAATTCCTTAAGAGCAAGAAGTCCTTTCCCAGAAATCCCCCAACAGACTCTTTCTTATGTCTCATTGGCCAGAAACTTATCACATGTCCCTACTCGCACCAATCACATGGCAGGGGGATGAGTGCTGAGAGCCCACACTGGCTGAGAGTAGTCAAGATTTCCCCTTGAGGGTAGCAAGCAGCTGTGAGTCCTTGAAGAGCGTGACCCCGAGGAGTCAAGTGAACAAAACTCGAGTTCTTTTAACAAAGGAGAAGGGAGTTACTGTTGGGTAGACACCTAGCATGGTGTACTACAGATACCCACCATCAGAACATGTCCAAGCTTGCAGCTTTGTAGCTCTGAGAGCCACTGGTCACGGCACCCTGATGGGCATGGGTGCCTTCTGTTTGGACTGAGAGGGATGTCACCAGGCCAATTCTGACCTGGCTGAGAGGGCTCCATAGTAAGCCAGGCCTTCATCTGGCTCAAGCAGGGTGACCTGCAGTCGTGATAGCAGACTGCCTCTTGGTGTCTGGCTTGTGTTGAGATGTTCCAGGCTGATAGCTCCTGACTGAAGGACATTTAAAGTTTTACAGTGACTTGGTTATCAGCAGAATTCTCATGCTTCTTAAAGGACTGTGGATTCTGCTTCTGCTGCAGAAGGTGGCTGGGTAGTAAGGCCTTTGGCAGCACTGCTGGGCCCTTGGAAAGACTTCAACTGGCACTGAGTGCTTGGCTGTGCTTTGCCTCTTATGACTGTCTGGGCTGCTAGGAGGTCAAAAGAAATGAAAGGACTTACTCAGGGTCACACAGTCCTGCTGTGAGGGGGAGAGGCAGTACAGCTGGATGGGGAGAGCATGGGCTCAGGAACTGGGCTGCCTGGGTTTAAATCCTGACCCATCACTTATGAGCTGTTGTCCTTAGACAGGTTACTTGACTTCTCAGTGCCTTAGTTTCCTCATCTCAAATGATTTGTTTTCCATTGCTGGGACAAAGGATCTGACAGATAAAACTTAAAGAAGGAAGGGTTTATTTTGTTTCATGGTTTCTGAGGTTTCAGTCCATGATAGATTGGCCCCAAGGCAGAAACATGGCAGAAAGGCATGGCAGAGGAAAGTTGCTTACCTCATGGCATCTGGAAAGCAGAAAGACAAGGAAAAAAGCCAGAGAGGAAGGGGCCTAGAATAAGAAACACCCTTGAAGGCACTCTTCCAATGACTTTCTTCCTCCAACCAGACCCTGCCTCCTAAGAGCACATTCAGTTATGAAATCATCAGTGGCTCAATTACGTTTTAAAAGCCTGACCTCTGAACACATGGGCCTTTTGGGGGACATTTTTGATGCATACCGTAACAAATGGGGATAATATCTGCAATGTGATAAACCTGTTATGAGGAGTGCCTGGCTTGCTTAGTATTTTCCCAGTGTGTGTTGGCCACCACCACCAGCGCCACCATCATCACCACCACCACCACTATCACTGTCATTTTTCTGGAGACTATAAAAGGGTCAGAGCCACACTGGCAGGCCTAGAATTCTGGCTGGGTGATTGTCTGCCTGGACCCACACAGAGATCAGGGACAGGGAAGGGAGGGAATCCAGGCCCCTCCCCAGCATCAAGGGCCAGCCCTGCATCCTACTCTGGAGGCATCAGGACCTCATGTAGTGACAGGATGAGACTGATTCCAGCATAGGGATAGTGATCAACTGTGGCATGCAGGCAGCAGATGGATCTAGCGGGGAGCAGGGTGTGGTATGGGATTTGGGAGCTGTGTTGCAGTCAGGAGTTCAGATGTATGGACTGTATCAGCCTGGGCTCATTGATGAGGGACATGACTCCACTTGCAGGGCTCCTGAAATAGGTGGCCAGTCCAGAACCCTTGGAGAGTTGCCTGGCACTTATAGATGTGCTGCTGTGCTGCACCAAGTGCTTGCCGAAGGGCTGAGCTGGAACCTCCTGTCCTGGTCTTCAGGCCAAAAAAACCCTGATGCTAGATTCCCCTTGGGGAGGCTCCTCATGGTGCCAGGACAGCTGTGCTGGAGCTCCAGCTGGGAGCTTTCTTGTAACCCCCTGGTTGCAGGCTTCCCAGGCCTTCGCCACTCTGGTTCCTACTTCTATACCAACCATTTGCTTCTGTCTGTCTCCCTGTTGGATGTTTCAGGATACAGAGATCCGCAACAATGCAGCCAACTACCTGCCCCAGATCAGCCAGCTCCTCAACCACATACCTCGCCAGATGCTGCTCATCCTCAAGACCAACGACCTGCTGCGTAGTATCGAGGCCGCCCTGGGCACCCGTGCTAGTGCCAGCTCCTTCCTCAATATGTCTCGGTGTTGTATCAGGGCGCTGGCTGAGTGAGTGTCGGCTCCTGCCTCTGCCTCTGCCCCTGTCCCTCCCCTCCCTGGCCTTCCTCGTGGTTGCTGCCTGCCTTTGCTTTTCCCCACCGGTCCATGGGGCCCTGCCTGCCTATCCCAATCTCAAATCATCCTGAGGAGAAAGGTAGGGCAGCTAGCTCCGGCAAGCTGGCAGACGCCTTGGGGCAGTGCCTTTAGGTGGCCCAGAGAATCACCTGTGCTTGTTAAGTGGTGGGTCCTAAGACCTCACATTCCCTATTCAGTCTTCCAGGCAATTCCTACCATCAGTTTAAAATGTTTTCTGAGTGTCTTAGCCCCATGCAGGCATCCCCTGGGCTTGGTGTCAGGAGGCTCTGGTGCCACCCCATCTCTAATTGGCCCTGGGACTGGCCAGGCAGCTAGGCTAGTGCTCTTTTTCTTGACTATGACTTGGGGAAATGTGCTTAGTAGGTTTTCTGGGAATCCCAGACCATTCTAATTGCCACGGTGCCCTTGGAGCACTGATGAGGAGAAGGGTGCTTACTCAGGGAGATAGCTCCAGAGACAGAAGGTTCCTGGCCTTCAAGTGGTGTGGTGAATACACCTGAAGGGAACCTGCTCTGCTGGAATGTTCTCACTGCAGAGACGGGGCCTGGCTTGTGGTCTGGTCCAAGCGCATGCCTCCTGGCAGGCAATGGGTCATCCTGGGAAACTAAGAGAGTTGACCATGTATATCAGGTACCCACATCAAATATCAGATTAGAATACAGCAAAATATACTGCATACTAAAAGGGCTGGCCATGATTTATTCTTCCCCTTAGAGTTTAGGAGGTGTAATGTTGAATAGGTCATCATCATAAACACAAGTTTTCACTGTGTCTTGTTTTTGGCCCAGAAGGAATTGTGCCGGGGTAATCTGTAATGGTTCTAGCCTTGTAGGACTACCTGAGTGGGTTTCTAAATGATTCTTATGCTCAGAAAGTTTGATTGCTTTTGAGTTTGGGGGATTCTGGATTAGCATGTGTTTGTTACACTTTTGAAAAAAGAATCATTGGAATGTTCTACCCATTGGGCGTATTAGATCCTTGGTGCCCTGGGAAACAGCTGCTTTTGCTTACCCAACCTATTTGAATAACTCCTTTAGAATATCTGAGTTCCTCTAGTCCTGGATTGGGCAGTGGTATGATCAGATAACCAAGAGTGGTTCCCAAGAGCAAGGAGCTAAAGCCAAAGCCACTATCTTTTATTACTGAGCTAGTGTTTCTTATTTCTTTCTCTCTTCTTCTCTCCTTTCTTGCCCCTCCTCCAGGCACAAGAAAAAGAATACCTGTTCATTCTTCAGAAGGACTCAGATCTCTTTCAGCGAGGCCTTTAGTTTATGGCAGATCAACGTTTATGAACTCATTCTGCGTGTGAAGGGCCTGAGGCTGACCAGCTGGCTCTCGACCCTGCTTTGCTGGCTCTTTCCTGCTCCACACTGAGTGGGTTTGCTATGTCCTACCCCTTTCTGGTGTTTTTTCATATTTCCTTCATTCCCTGTCTCTACCCTGTGCCCTCATTTCTGTCCTGTGGTGGTCTGCAATCCCAGGGTCATTGTCCACGCCCCAGGATGCTCAACCTTTGGAACTGCTTCTCATGCTGCAGCCCTTGTCCCAGGGCCCACACGCCATGGAATAGGCTTTTCTCCTTCAGGGAGAATTTGCAGCAGCTGCTGTCACGCCCATTCCCACTAACCACTTCTATTGTCAGTATAGACCATGTATGCTACTGAGGGCACATTTAACTAGCAGGAAGTTTGATTTTTTGGAGGTGAGCATTGTCTCTGAGACTTCTGGAGGACAGGCTATCATTGTTATGTCCCTTCCCAGAGGTGTCACACCTGAGGGAGGCAGTTTACCATCTGAGGGAAGACTCTGGGCAGCTGTGTGTTCACTGCTATCATGGTGATCTCTTTGGTATTATTCGTATTGTATTTCAATAAATCCTCTTCAACTTTCAGGGTCTGTCCATCCTGACTCACTTGACTCCTGCCTCACCCCAGCCACATACCCACCCTGGCCCTTGCCAAGGGTGGACAGCTCATCTTGGTTGCTGTTTCTGTGGGATTTTCCAGGGAGACCTAGGGGAATAAGGCCAGGGTGGTGGGTGGTGGGATTTCTATTTGAGGTTGGGAGTGAATCCACACCAGCCAGTAGTGGCTCTGAGCACTGGTTACCAAGAGGATCTGCTCCTTGGCTCCTTGCCCTTGTAATTCTTCCAAGCAGCAGGACTCCTTCCATTGCGGACTGCTTTTTGGAGACTTAGCTTTCCTTCTCTGAGAACTTGATTGGAGGTGTTAAGAAGCTCAGGGCTGAGAGGTTAGAGGCTGACTTTGTTTCCTCCCCTAGGTTCCAACCTCATTTCCTGTGAGCTGGATACCTGCACTGTTCTCCTAATCATTTCCTGACTTACCCTTCTGGTTCTTAGTTGATGGCTCCACTTCCATTCAGGGATTCTACTGGGTCTTCTTAGTCCTCCGAAGGCCTTACTCCCCTTGCTGAAACATTGGTCACTGTGGCGGGGTTTGCATTTGGAAACCTCAGGCTGCCTATTTGAATTCTGTTTTCACCTATTGCAATGCAGGCTGCCGCTCCCCATCTGTGTCCTCTGCCCCTGCTTCTGGGACACTCCCAAGCTCCTGCTCTAACTCCTGTGTCCGTGTGGTCTCCAGGTCCCCGAGACCCTAGTTTTAGCAGATCCTAGCTCCCCAAACACCTGTGCTCCCAGAAGGTAATTGTATTTGAATCTCTAATCTTGCTCCACCCCATTCACAGGGGGCAGAAAACCCTGAATCTGAGCCTTGTTTTCTGTTCTCTTTGTTCATAATACAATAAGTAGATTTTCTAGTGATCAGAAATGATTTGCCATTCTTTTATTCCTGAAAGAGTTACTTATTCTTAGTGACCAGTTAGATGTGCCCAGGGACCTGCAAGAACAATTTGCAAGATCTGTTAGTAATCATGAGGATGCATAGTGCATATTATATTTTATGGTGTCTTTTATAGCCACTGAAGTAAATATGAATGCCTTCTGTTCAAGGTAATGGTTACTTGATTCTTACTTTTAGTGTAATGCTTGGGTTCCTTTGCACTAGGATCTAAAACATCAGCGTGTTGCCAGTGAGCCCAGCACCCAGAGCATTTATCCAGATAGAGCAGAGAGGCGAGGAGAGTTGGAGGTATAGGACAGCTTGAAAGTAGGAAGGGAGTAGGCTGATTTTTATTGAATGCCTTTCACAAAGCTGTCTCATCAGCTTTCTGAGGGAGGGGTCATTAGTCTCATCTTATAGACGTGGCAACCTAGGCTCAGAGAGGTTTAGTAATTTACCTGTGGTCACACAGCTGCTGATGTTCCCTGCTTTGCTTTTGATTCTACAGTGCCAAGATAAGGATTATACTTGCTCCTAGGGCTACCTTGTGTACTTGAGTTGTGCTTCTCTCAAATATGGGCCCAGCACCTAGGTGTCCTGGCTTACAGAAGATGCTCAATAAATCCACAAACACTGAGAATCCCAGCATACTTTGAGATTTTCAAGGATGATAAAATCTGTGCATTTGAGAAGCTACACATGCATTTGTCCCACAAGAGGTGATGCTTTGCTGGCCAGGTTAATTTTGGGAGTGTTTCTTGATCACTGCAAGATCAGAAATGGTCTGTCACAGCTCTGCAGGCTGCCTGGGGCCTTCCTGCCACTGCTACAAAGCTTGTAAAATGTAGCTAACAACAAAAGTGGCTCTAAGAGGCACCCACGCAGCCCCTGGGGAGCAGAACTGATGGGTTTGGAATAACCCTCATGTGGGCAGATGTGAAGAGAGTGATATCTGGGCCAAGTGATCAGGAAAGGGGGTGGCACAAGCAGAAGCTGGGGTCTAAGCAGGGAGCTGGTGACCCATAAGATCTTCATTGACAGGAGGAATAAAACCAGAACAAAACTGGCAGAGGTGTGATGCTTGATGGGTTTGAGGAGAGGGCTCATGTTTAACAGAGCGCATACCCAGTGACCTGGTGCCATTGGTCCTGGTCACTGTACTCCTGGTCGAGGGGAGCGGTGGGAAAGCCCCAAGCCTTAATTCTGCAAAAGTCTTGGTAGAAGCCAAGCTTGATAATGACCTGTTTGGTCCAAAGGCTTCCACTCTAATGTCCATTTTTTCTTTTCCTCCTCCTATTTCCTTCCCCCTTTCCTCCCTTGTTGCTTCCTTCTCTCTCTCCCCCACTCCTTCCTTCCTGTGAAGCAAAGCCTGGTATAGAAGAGTGAGTGTGAACCCTGGGCTGCAGTTGTGATGTCTGTTTCCTGTAGTCGGTGCCTCCTGGCCTGATCTAGCTGCTCCTGTGAAGGCTGCATCAGCCCAGGTCACTGTGGCCCTGGGCAGTGCTGCTGGGGCCTGAAGCCTCTTTCTCTTGTCTCTGCCTTTGGCTGCACTGTTGCACAGTTCCTCTGATGTTTCTTCCTGTTTTTTTCTCATATGTGTAAGAGGGAAGGACAGAGTGTTAGGGCTAATCAAACGGCGGCAGGAATTCAGCCTCTTAGGCCTGCCATTTCAGCAGCTGTGTCCTCATCACCTCTCCTTGCACATTTGAGTTGGGGTGGGGCTTCTCAGATTTTCCTGTGTGAACCAATCACCTGTGGCCTCATTAAAGCCTGGGCCCTGCCTCTGTGAACCAGGGGCAGGGGGAACCTGAGGTTTGTATTTCTAATCAGATTCTGGTTGATGCTAATGCTGCTGAACCAAGGATGACACTTTGAGTTGCAAGGATCTAGGTCAGTGGTCCTGGGGCCAGCAGCCAGGCATTGTTTGGGAGCTGGTTAGAAATGCTAATTCTCAGGCTTTGATCCCACTCACTGAACTGGAGACAGGGTGGGGCCTATGAGTCTGTTTCCATAATTCTTCCAGGGGATTCTGATGCCCACACATGGTTCTCAACCCTATCTGCACCTGGAGAGCTTCAGATGCCTGAGATTGTGATTTAATTGGTTTGAATGGAGGCCAAGCACTTATAAAAATTGTTTTTATTTTAAATATTTTATTCTGAAATAATTTTAGACTTTACAGCAGAGTTGCAAAGATAGTACAGAGGGTTCCCACAAACCTGCCACCTACCTTTCCCTAATTTTAACTTGTCATGGAACCAGGGCCCTTAATTAATGAGAAGAAACTTGCATTCATACAGTCCAAGTAACTTAACTAAGCTACAGATGTTGTTCAGATTCGTCCTTTCTGTGTCCCAAGGTCCCATGCAGGGCACCACCTTGCACTCCGTTGTCACATCCTGTCAGACTCCTCTGGCCTGTGACAGCATCTCATACCCCATGTCTCTCATAACCTTGACACTGTGGGAGAGGACTGCTCAGGGATGTTGCAGAGGATCTCTCATCTGGCTCTGTCTGATGTTTCTTTGTGAATAAACTGTGTTTATGGTTTGGATGAACATGAAGGTCCAGTGCCCTTCTTGTTATCCCCTGTCCCAGGAAGGACATGGACATGACTTACTGGTTGTGTTCTTTAAAGCTTCCCGGTCAGAATGGAGACTTCTCCCTCACAATTGCACGTCCTTCAGAGAAGGAAGGAACATAGCTGCGGAATTACCTCATGCATGGACATCAGGTAGCGCCTCACTGAGGCTGAGAGAGGCCTGGCTACTTCCACATTAAAAAGGTCTTGGGGGGCCTGGGATTTAGCTCAGTGGTTGTGCTGCCTGCCTCGAAAACTCAAGGTCCTGAGTTTGATCCCCAGTACCAAAAAAAAAAAAAAAAAAAAAAGATCTTAGGAAACCCAAAAACGCATATGTGCCAAAGCAAGACAATAAAAACAGTGGTGTGATTTTAATGGTTAGTTAACCACAAGTTAGCTCTGTAAGCATAACACAAATGTCTGGCATCTGTTTATGGGTCTGACCTGGTAGTTGCCTCTTGGTGCCCAGTGAGGGCAAGATAGTCTCCCTTGGGCTGGTAGCCAGCCCTTTCAAGCACATCTCCTGGTCCTGAGACATGGAAGTGGTAGGTGGCCCTGTCTCTAGGTGGGTCATAATAGAAGAGGAAGGTGGGAAGGATGGACTGCCAGTAGCACAGACTTTCTTCTCTTCATGCCTAATGCTGGGTAGGGCACAGAGCCCTTCCAAGGTCCTGGGAACCAGGGATGCTGGCTGTCCTTTCACCTTCTTGGAGCTGCCAGGCTCAGGAGGCAGCTTGGAGCTGTGTAGCTGGCAGGAGACCTTCCTGTGCCAAAGGTAAGCACATGCACATCAGTATGTACAATATCATCACCGACAGGTGGTATAGAGCAGTAATTAAGGGCATGGGTTCAAATTCTTTCATACTGTATCGCCCTATACTACCTGTATTAGGCAAGTAACTCTGTTTGGGCCTTGACTACACAGTTTGAAAAGTGGAGATAATAGTACCTGCCTCATAGGGTTACTGAGAGGAACTGGCTAGGTAATACGTGCAGTGTGTTTGGAGAAGATGAACCACACAGTGAGTGCTCTGTAAATACTTGTTATGAGCCCATGTGGCAGACATGATTCCCAGCCTTCTTAGTTCTTGTACGCTTTCTACGTAAGGAACTAAAAAGTGAAGTCTTGCTTTCCTAGCCTTCCTTGCAGTGAGGTTGACACATGAAATGAGAGGTAAAGGGGAATCTTAAGGAGAGTGTCTGGGAAATCCATAAGGGTATGGCTTGTTTGTGTTGCCTCTTCCTCTTCCTTCCTATAGGGAGGCTGGTGTGTGGTTTGGGATATCTGGAAATACAGCAACTATTTTGTGACCTAGAGGCAATAAGCACAATGTGACATTTTATTCAAGTGTTGGTATGGACTGAATTATCTCCCCTCCCCAATTCATAAATCCTTACTCCTCACATAACTATTTGAAGACAGGCCCTCTGAGGTGGCAGTTAAAGCTAACTGAAGTCATTAAGGTGGAGCTCTAATCCTATAGGGCTGATGTCTTTATAAGAATAAGACACCAGAGTGGTCTCCCCTCCAGCACAGAGAAAAGGACAATGAGAAGGCAGATGGTTCCAAGTCAGGAAGAGGAGCCTAACTAGAACCCAACCAGCTGGTCCCTTGATCTTGGCCTTCTAGTTTCCAGAGCAGGGAGAAATTAATTTCTGTTTATGCCTGTGGTATTTTATAATGGCAGCCTGAGCACTTAAAGGTTCCAGAGACAAGGAAGCTGACACCTTTTGGAGAGAGAGGAGCATTCTTTTACCTACCACATCCTTGAATCTTGTGATCGCCCTGGGAATGCTAAGGTAGGCTTGGGTCTAGGTGGAAGGATTAGCTAGCAATAAATAACAAAACAGCAACAGCAATAATAACAACAGATATCAAGGACTGACTATTTGCTTACTGCTTTGCATGGATCCATTTTCACTTAGTTCACACCATTGCTCTATGGGGTCCAGAGCCAATGTCATTTGCTGTGATCAGGGGAGTACACTGAGACACAGAAAGTTCAGGCTACTTGCTGGAGGTGACCCAGGTGATGAACCTAGGTGGTGCACAGCCACAGCTTGGCTCTCCACCCCTTGCTGCACCACAGGTGGCTTTGACTTGGGGTTTGCCTCTGCTGGGGTGGATGGGCTCTGCTGTACGTAGTCCTGGTGGACTCCCAGTACCTTCCCGCCCACCTGGGTCTGCAGCTGATGGGCTCCTGTGGTGGGGGCAGCTGGGCAGAGCCCCCCTGAGCAGTCATTTTCCTGCAAGGAGGGTGGGCCTGGATGGACCAGAGCTTGTCCAGCTAGTGTGGCCTTGGACACTAAGCCTTCTGGGCCCCTCTGGATACTGGGATACAACCTCTCTAGGGAAATCCTCGTAAGGGGTTCAGATATGGGCAGAATTGCAGTTTTGTTTCATGGTAAGTAGGAACATAGAGGAATTTCTCCTCTTTTCACATTTTCCTCTCCCTCCCAAGTATTTAGGGAGAAGGGTCAAGCTGTAAGGGATCCAGGAGAGAAACCAGAAGCATGTGGGCTGTTCTGATGAGCTGGTTAAAGTGAGTTCTGTAACAATCTGATGGCTCTGACCCTCACCTTACCTTTGGCCTGGATCTGATTCTCTGGCAGGGGCCAGTGCCACCTGCACTGAGCCAGGTGGCTGGAGGTCAGGCCTGCCATGCCATCCTAGTTCTGGTGTCATGGGCAGGTTGCTTTGGTCCCTGAGCTTAGCTTCCTGCTGTGGGACAATAGTGGTTGTCCAAAGGTTGCCCTGCTCAGAGGTCTGTGGTAAATGTCACAGATAGTGCTGGTGAAAGCTGATACTAACACTAACGGGTTTACAGTACCAGGTGGGTAGTTTATCTACTCAATGTCCTTTGCAGCTTTAACTAGGATTCCTTTTTCTCAGGGATACTCCCTTCTGTAGAAGATGCTCCTGCATCTCCCACAAGCCATGAGGGTAGACAGATGGCCACCCCTCTGGCTGCAGAGACTGGTTCCAGTGCAGGCTCATGCTCCCATGTTTGACTGTCTTTCCATTGCTTGCTAAGTCTAGTGGCTCTCTTGCTGTGTTGTCCTTGGAATGCCTGGAGCTTGCCTTTCTAGCCATCCAGATTTATCCTTGATTTTTCAAGTAAATGAACGAATAAATCTGAAATCTTCCACCCCAGTTTTTGTGCATAAATTACTTTAAAATAATTATCTGATATTTAGTGGAAAAAAGTCCTAATCATCACAGCTATTATCTTTAAGGGCCTTGATCCATGTTGAAAGATGTGGAGGCCCTACCAAAGTCTAGAGCGTTCCTATATAGGGATAGGCAATAAAGAGATATCTATAGATTGGATGCTCTCCAGAGAGCTAAACAAGAGCAAACAGTTACATTGGAGTAAATTCTTATTGTCATAGCTGTTGTGGAAACTATGAGAGTATGGGCTACTGGTTGGTTGCTATATATATCATTTTCTGGTGAGAAAAAATGTCATTCTGACTGTATGCCAGTTGTGTGAATGTACTTTGGACAGTAGTCATGCCTATATTCTAGTAACCCATGGAGTTCTTAGAACTATTTGGCTGAAATAGGCTTAATTTCTCTATTGATTCTGCTCATTGCACAGGTCTCCCCCAGATGGCTGGCAGGAACCATTTCTTTAATTACAGTATTAGTTGGATAGAGCCATCCTTGGGAGCACTTAGGATAAGGACAGTCTCACATGGCTGTACTCCATGGGCCTGTAAGTTCAGCTGGCCAGGTCATGGGACCTACACTGAAGCAAGGACGAGACTAGGAGAAGGACTATGCTCTCTCTCTCTCCTGTTCTTCATAAATTCCACATGCCCGACTGAGTAAAGTGAGAGCTTGTGGGAGAGTTGGCCCCCCTCTCCCTGACCTGGCTGTGCTATTATTTGAAGTTTGCTAAATAGGCTGATCTTGATGGTGAAGACAGCAGATTCACCCCAAATCTTTGATGCTACTCTATGCTTTTTCATATGTCCAAGCCCTCTCTCCTCCATCTCAGTGATCATGCTCAAGTGCTGCCTCCTGTAGGGAACCTTCCAAAGCTATAGGCCCTTGCTGATTTGCCTCTTTTCCCAGTTCTCCTGACTGTCTCTCTTCTCATCCACACTTGATTGTCTCCTAGCCCATGCAGTCCTCAGGGGGCAAGGAGCATTCCCTCTTTGTCTCTCACATATCTTTCTACATCACAACAGTGGAGGAGGTGAAGGTCAGCCTCACATTGGTTGAGTGGCCATTTACATGTGCATCAGTGCCTGCACGTAGCATGTGTGCCTCCAGTGTCCATCCTGGGAGTGGGCAATATAGCAATGAGGTCAGACGCCATGCTGACTTTAAGGACTATAGACTGTCTGACAAAAGAGAGTCTGGCGTTAGGAAGAAGGGGAGTGTTCCTGGGTGAGCCAGGAATCTGTGGTCTGGAGAAAGAGAAAGGGATTTTGACAAGGGATGGTGGTGCCACCTGCAGCCCCACCAGAAAAGAAGGAGTGATGAGACCATTTCTGTATTTCTCTGTGGGGACAGATGTCCCATCTCATTTTGACTAAGGTTTGGACTCATGGTCTCAGTAGATGATGCCCTTAGCAGCTACCTGGCCCCAAAGCCTTTATCCTCTGTGATCTTCACACAACTACCCAACTCCATAGAGGCTACCTCCTGATATCTCTCATGTTCATCAGCTTTCTTCTGTCTCTACCACCTCATTCATGCCTGGTCTCCCCTGCAGTCTTCTGGCTCCTATCTTGTGCCTGCTTGTGTTCCCCCTACACCATCCACCCAACTACTCTTGTTCAAACAACCCAAAGCTAACTTGTCTACAGGCGCACTGCCAAAAATCTGTTTGCCTAAGGATCAATTCTCCCAAAGATCTGTTTACCTAAAATTAAATATTCTTGAATGTTTTCAGATCCATTTGACCTTCCTATTTTCTCTTGCCTATTTTTCTTTTGTATTTTAAAGATCCTAAAAACCAATTCATGAAAGATCATTTGACTCAATTTTGTATTTCTAATGAGTATTTATTACACATGCAGCTTTTTGTGAATTTTTTTTTGATGTTATGGATATCTTTTTCTAGTTTACCTACTTTCATTAACTTTAAAGATAACCAATATTTAGTTGTTGTGTCTAAAGAAGCTTTCCTCAAAATATTTCTGTCCTAGCAATTATTAATGTCCAAGACATTAATTACAATCAATTTTATGTCATCTTGACCCCTTAACTAAGGGTACATTAATTTCAAATGGAAGAATAGATATTAACATTGAGTTTTGTGTGACGTATGTTGCTTTATAAACTAAGGACCCT